GACTATACCTAGAGACCAGACATAGTCCAGTGAACGAGGTATAAGAGGGGCGACAAGATCGGATCTGGTGCTAGATAACCTCTGATCAACACTTATGAAAATATGGCGTAGGCTTCCATTACCCAACATACATTTTCCCTCGAGATATGAGGAAGTAATGCGCCAACCTCTATTTGGTAATCGATGAATCACGGATCCTAACGGGTGTGTCTTCCATAGCTCAAAGCCACCGTGGTCCTTGTGGGTGAAAAGGGGGGTATTGAGAATCAAGGATCTTTGGGATTCAGAAACCAAGAATTAGAAAAGAGCTGAAAAGTTGAGATTGACTCTACACTATGCTCATTGGTTGTCGCTTAATCGGGAACAAATTATCATCTCAATTCCGTTAGCCTGAAAACGATTCTGGAGGAAATGACCAAAGTTTGAAGAAGCGGATTGGGTAATGGGACTTGATTATCGCAATGGATAATTGAGGGTGTAACAAATTGTCCATCTTCTGCCTCAGGGGTCTTTAGTGAGTATCCACAAGATGGACAAAGACCATTTTCTATCACCATGTTCTTTGGACACAGTTAGCTTATTTCCTTTCTCTCACATATATCGTATTAGAGTGTTGTTAATTTCGACAATCAAAGGTTGGAAAGCTTTTCATCCAAAGATGTCTATTCCAGAATTACTTTTAGATCTGATAGAATGGCGGTGGCAATCTAGTGAGAGAGGGAAATCGCGATTGTTACAATCATTAGAAGTGAAAGCAACATACAGACTGCTTCGACCAAAAGTTGACATCATAGCAGTTGTTTAGGAGAGATGGGCGAGACATTTAAACACCGATATATATTTGATCAAACACATTAAACTTTTCAAAAATATTAGACAATGCCCAACGAAATTCTCTTCTTTACAATAGCAGATCATCCATCGATGTCTGCCCACCAACGATTGGATTGTGGATCACTCTACACTGGAGCAGCAAGGAATAACACTTCCTTGGTGTAAAACTTGTCAGTCTATATTTTCAAGCAGAAAATTGTGTGAAACTATAAAGCACATTTTTCTCCAATGTCGAGGAGTTGTGCTAATCTGGAGACGTTGGGATTGTGTCTGGGGGGGACTCACAAGATTGAACTGGCCTTTGGAATGGAGGACTATCCTTTTTGGGCATTGGGATCCTCCTTTGTTCACACCCACTAATTTTCAATCTAACCTCTTTGATATTGGACGCAAAGCTATCCTATGGTCCTTGTGGTATAAATGTTGTGTTCGTGAGAGAGAAGAGGTGACCCTGGAGGGTGTTGAATGGGGAGATTATATAGTACAATCTGTCCAAACAGAATTCAGAGCCCATTGGAAGATTACCAAGGAGAAATTAAATAAATTCACACAAAAAAAAACATAAAACAAACAATCTAGAATTTCACAAAAGACTGGCTGGGGGAACCAATAGAGCGGTCCTTGGGGGAGGTGAAATAGCCAGGGGCAGAAGAGACAGAGGGACCTCTCAAGAAGAATTTCCAACTGGTCTTCCAAAACTGGTTCACGCTTCCGCCTAGAGTTGTTCTAAGGGACCCTATTTTTTTTCCAGATCCATTTCCCCCCTCTGAACTGGCCTTGGTAGAATTACAATGGTTTGGCCCTGTGTAGCATCGTGTTCGGGTTCGGTGACCGAACCCGGGGCCAAGTCCCACTAGGGGTGAGAAAATTATAGGAATGAGGACCATTCTTCTGTGTGACACGCTTGCCAGCCATAGATAGAGAAGGGATCGTAAGGTCGTGCTTCGGTTAGTGTGCAAAGAGGAGGAGGGTTCATGTTTCTCGTATTCTCATTGGCCACCAAATGTGGCAGGTTTTACTTTTCAAAATTTGACGAGTTTTCATTCCTGGCATGTCTGTTCATGGGTGAGGTATGAAAACCGGTTCGAAAATCCGCATCAAACTGATTTGGAAAAAGAAACTTGGTAATGAGACTGTGTCAGTCTGAGGAAGTGCCGCTGCACCGTTGCAGACTCTGTCAGTGGACAGGCACACACTGCCACTAGGAGCGTCAAGTTTCCTCAAACTTGAATTTTGACGTCTTTGTGGAGATGTGCAGAAATCCCGTTCTGTCGCTTCCTGAAACGCACATTTCCACAACCAAATTGTCGCAAGGTCTCTCTCTCTCTCTCTCTCTCTCTCTCTCTCTCTCTCTCTCTC